TACAAAATCACTGTCTATGAGTGGATCATCAAGAATTGGATATGTTAATACAGGAATGGTGGTTAGTTTTTATTTAATGTGTGGAATGTTTGTTTACAGTCAGAAATCCAGTAAAATTAAGTAACTTGTATAAAAGATAAGCTATATGAGCAAATGATTTTACAAAATTACACTAGTTAGAGCACAATCCAACACATCCTTGTACATCATGCAAGCTCTGTGGTGTTAGCCAAGTATGAACAGATTCATCCATGATTGGATCCATAGAAATACTTCTCCACTGACTGTGTGTCCCAGGAAACTCACTTTTTGATGAAACAATTCACATTTCTTGGGATTTAGCTTAAAGTTCTTTCCTCAACTGATTTAGCACTTTTCTTACCCCATCACAAGCATCATTCATCATTGAAAGTCTTCCCGTGTGTGATTATATCATTTAAATAGGTGAATATGATATTCCAGGGTAGTCCAAAGAAAAGACATTTCATTAGTCATTCAAGTATAGCAGGTGCAGTACATAACCCAGATGGTAACAACACAACTTACTATAACCCATTTCTTGCAGCAAAGGCTGTCTTCTCTTTACTTTCTCTGTCAACTTGCACTTGGCAATATCTATCTTCAGTTCCAATGTTGAAAACCATTTTGATGTATATAAAGTAGCCAAAATAGTCAGTCCTTAGCACTTGATTGGCATCCTTCTTTGTGACTTCTTTCACTTGCTATCAGCAAAACCTTAATAGATCCATCCTACTTCTTCTCAAGGACTATTATTTGATAATATAACTCCTTGCTCTTTCATTATTTTTATTTTTTTTAGATCCCCAACTTGTTTTGCCACTGGGAATTGTCTAATTAACTGATGTATTGGGATTACATCTCCAGTATCAACCTTATGAAATTTTATTTGTCTGTCCAAGTCATGAGGTTCACTGGAGAAGGTCTATTGGTATTCAGTGAGCAAATTATGTAAATTATGGCATTGATCAGTTGCAAGACTCCATAGCTCTGGTCACTCAGCTCTTATAAGTAATGAGAGAGTTGTTTTATGTGAAGATACAACATTAATCTCCCTACATTTTATTTCTAAGGTGACTACTTCTTATGTTCATAGTACTACTTGTACAGCTTCATATCTTGCAATATTCCATCCATAATTGACTTTGATTGCATGATTTGTTGTTTTCTTAGTCCTGATTGTCTCTGTTCTTAAGATTGACAAGCATTCTTTAAATGATAATCCATTAGGAATGTTTGTTTCCTCTATGTCCCAGGCAATGGAACCAAAATATTTGATAATACATTCTGGTATGAGTATTTCACTTTTTAGTGGTACAATAACTACCTTTCTTGTTGTCAGTGGAAGTACATCCTCTAGTGTTGTAATCATAGTTGTAGACTGTGAAACTGTTTAGAGCTAGTTTAACCTCGCATCCATTCTTCCACATGAAGTCTACTTCCAATATACCCTCTTCCACAATGTCAATCACCCACACATTGTCATGTAAAGAAGCTTGCTTCCAACAGTGAGGTTGACTTTTAACTTTCCTCTTGCTGGAACTTTTTGACCACTTGCTGTTTACATTAATCCATCCTCTTCCTTCATCTCTGGATGCAATTTTCCACATTTCATTACCATATAGGACCAAAAGTGGTAACCATAGATTCAATGTCAACCAAAATGTTGCAGTGTTTTCCACTAGTGAATCCTTTGACTTGTGGACTGATTTCTGTAATAATGGATTCATTATTTTGATTGATGCAGATTGCAGATGTAGTATTCTCAGCTGAACTTTACCTGTTGAACAACTTGCAGATAATATTGAAGATGATGAAGTTGGTGATGATGATGATGATGATAATGAAGTTTTTGGAATGGTGGATTAGTGTTCTTCTGGACAACTTGCAGATGAGGAGGCAGATGTGGGAGGTAAGGCAGTGATGGCAGAGGAAAAGCAGGCAAAGGACTCGGAGAGGTTACATGGGAGTGTCTGCACAGAAATACCATGGTTGAACAAAGACTGATAATTCTTGGGATTCTGCGGTGCAAGAGAGTGGGATGCACAGTGCAGTGCATTGCAAGCCTCAAACTAGTTTTGGGGGGCAGCTGTGCTGCAAATGACTAGGGATAATTGTAGTCCAAGAGGGTTCTGTAGTGGCACAGACAGCTGTAGTAGTGACAGATGTAAATCAGATTAGTTCTATTGTTCCTGTTGGGTTTGAACATTTTGGGCACATGCCTAGCTGGGTTGATCCTTGCATTTACAAGTTAATTTTTCATATGTTTTATTCTGTCATTGATGTATCTTTTTACCTCAATGACTTTTCTATTACAACCTTATGTACTTCATAAATGTCATTTTATACTTCCATTTTTTCTTTTATGTCCTTTTGTACATCTTAATTTTGTTATTATAATCTATGTATGTGTATATATATATATATATATATATATATATATACT